AGCAATATATACCTACTTGAGATTAGATGCCAGAGACAAATTGGGAATTGGAATATACACAAGGAAGGAAACATAATTCTGAAGGCTTTGTAGCTGACTGGGGACTCTGAAGAGAAATGATATTATTGCTTGTACTTAGTTACTCCTTCAAGTATATTTGTAAATAATACAGATCATATCATTGCCAAATGTTTTCAGTCTTCCCATCTGATAAAGTTGTAGCCACTTGCTGAACTGAGTGGTATAAAATAATATCAAACAGAAATATGTATTGGCATATGCAGATCTCTTAATCAAAGTCAAATATGGCTTGAGCCCATTATTAATATATGGCACATCATTAGAGACAGTGGTATTTATATTTATATAGTTAGAAATTAGAACAATAATTAAATGACATTAACAGCATACATAGGTGGGACTAAACTGTCTCAATATCTCTATAAATTATTTTTCCTTTTTTATTTTTATTAGAATTTTTCAATATAATAAAGTATATGCCCCAGAGACAATTTTCTTGTGTGTCCAATCACATTTGGCCAATACAGAATTCTATTCTGTTCTATTCTATTCTATTCTATTCTATTCTATTCTATTCTATTCTATTCTCTCCTCTCCTCTCCTCTCCTCTCCTCTCCTCTCCTCTCCTCTCCTCTCCTCTCCTCTTCTATTAACACGTTAAAGGAAAAATAAGAAAAAGAAAAGATAGAAAAGAAGAAAAGAAAGGAAAGAAAGGAATACAAGAAAGAAAATACTGGTAATGCTCAATTTACAACCATTCATTTAACAACAATCTGGAATTACAACAACAGTCACAGAATGGGTGCTTTATGACCTATAAAACACATCTGGCTATCCCAAAATGTTACACCACCACCCAACATTCACATGATTGTGTTCTAGATGCTTGGCAACCTATTCACCCTTATGACAGATTGCTAACCACTCTGCAGTCATGGGATCACTATTTGCAGTCTTCTATGCCAGCTGCCCCAGAAAGTCAATGGGGAAGCTGGCAGGGAAGGTTGCAAGCTCCTGCTGCCTGCTGTAGAGGTGAGATTCCCTCTCAGCAGGCAGCTCTTTGAGAACACAGGAGCTGCCTTGTTTGCATGAAGGGAACCTCAGCTTCACACACATTTTGAGGGCAAAAATCCTGCCTCCTGAGGGAAAGGAAATCCTCCTGCAGGCTGCAGAAATGAAGGTGATATCCCAGAGATCTGAGCTCCAATTCCTGCAGCATCCCAGAGGAGTTCCCCTCCATGCATAGAGGGGAGGGGAACCCTTTCAAAGGGCTGCAGAAATGGATCCTAAACAACCTCTTTGAAGGAATTTCCCTCCATGCAACTGAGCTCCATTCCTTTGGAGGAATTGCCTTCCACAAAATTCCATAGAAGAGCTGCAGAAATAACAACAGAAGAGAAATAGAATTCTGGGAGCCCTGGAACTCAAATAAAGAACCCTCAACAGATCAATAGAACTTGATCCAACCCTACAATCAAGTATCAGTTCAAACTATACACAATAGATTGACAAAGCAGACCAGCCAAAATAATGTTGGCACCAATCCCAACCACCAATCAAGGGATACTTTGCAAGAAGCCTCCAATTATAGTATGCTGGCTTTGAATACTAAAGACAATCTCCATTTCTGAACTGAAAAATCCTTGCAAACTCTTGCAAAAAACCCAATATATCTACTTTGGTATTGATCTCCCTAAGATCGAAGAACCACAAAGTAGGTAAAAATTGTAGTATTTCCAGTCTTTTCTTACATTAAAGATTTAAAAATAACTGTCTTTAAAACATACAGTATAATTGTGAAACGTGCAATGTATAGGCAGTTCCCCAGATTCAGAACTATATGTACAACCCAGTGGTGAAATCCAATTTTTTTTACTACCGATTCTGTGGGCATGGCTTGGTGGGCGTGGTGTGGCTTGGTGGGCATGGCAGGGGAAGGATATTGCAAAGTCTCCATTCCCACCCCACTCTGGGATCAGCCAGAGGTGGTATTTGCCAGTTCTCTGAACTATTCAAAATTTCCGCTACCAGTTCTCCAAACTACTCAAAATTTCTGCTACCGGTTCTCCAGAACTTGTCAGAACCTGCTGGATTTCACCCCTGGTATAACCCTATTACTATCTAAAACAGTTTGAGTGACGAGGCTATAGGAAGGAAAGATGAGGCCTACAGTTCATGTTTGTTAATTTGTTTGTTTGTTTGTTTTTGCTCCTATCTGAAACAGCCAATACTGTGGATCAGCAAAGAAGTTTTTTAAAAATGCACCATAAAAACATCAGTACACAGATAAGTGAATTTATTTATTTATTTATTTATTTATTTATTTATTTATTTATTTATTTATTTATTTTATTGAATTTCTATACCGCCCTTCTCCCGAAGGACTCAGGACGGTGTACAGCCAGAAATAAAACCATAACAATATAAAAATTAAAAGCAATTTTTAAAAAAATTAATGGGGCATTATAAACGAAAGGAGGAAGCTATTAATATGCTGCCACCATTTTTAACAACAGCCAGTATGTGTAAATGCTCTGTTTAAAAAACTATAGGAAATTTGGTAAAATGGGGGGGGGGGCGGGGGTAAATCCTGGCTGTTTTATAATTCTATCGATTTATACATAGCCTTTTTTTTTCTTATGGCAACCATGCCAAAAATACATTACATGATGAAACTTACCTGACAAAAATTGTAATTAAGACCAAGCACTTAATATAAGACAAGATATTTTTACTTTATTTATATGCCCATTATTTGTATACTAGCAGAAGTATGGGAATTCTAAATAGTTCACACAACCAAGTCATTAAAAAAACATTAAAAGCGAGGTAATAGCTATAATAAAAAATAATAATCCCTATAATTTAACTAGCATGCTGCTGATCAAATGTCACATAAAGCACAGATATCATTGTCAGCATGTTCGTCAGAATGCATTTGATGAAAAAATTATGGGGGAAAACTTGTTCAGGAGATTTTGTCAGGCCCAAAGAATTGGGAACAACATGAGGAGTTACTTCAGAGTAGATTCTTTATTGTTGTTCATCTATTGTTGCTCATCTATAGATAGGAATCTTGCCAGACTAAAGCACTAAGCAAAAGTATTACATATACCCTATGAAAGACTAGGGAAAGTCCGCCTGCACTCTCTCTTGCATATCCAAGATTCCAAGTTGAGTTGCTTCTTAGTTCCTTGGGAAAGACCCTCTCCCTCCTGGGATTCTGGACCACATTTTACTACAGACTAAGACTTAATGTACCCCTTCCACACCCTTAGCCCATTCATCTTCTCAACTGGTGGAAACCAAAGTATTTCTTCCTATATAAAAACAATAAGCATTCTAAAGCCAACTTGAAAGAAACAGACCCAGAGTTAACTGGGACTTACACCATTTAGGACTTTGTTGATAAATACCAGGATCTTGAATCTCAGAAATCTATTGACAGCAAACGGTATGCCCAGTATGAATTTATTTATCACATTTATAGGGCCAACCACCTCACAGAAAGCAACTCTGGGCAGCATACAGCCATCAAATAAAACAATTATTATAAAAATAGAAAAAGCCATTATTAGAAATGAAAATATTATGAAAAATTTAAAATGTGGAAACTACACAGAGAAAGTAAAAATATGGAGCCATCTCAGGTCTATAAAGCAAAGGACAGCTCAAATAAGATCGTAAGCACAGTCACAATTTCATTGAGTGACCATTTTGCTTAACAACCAAGTTGTTGGTCCCAATTGTAGTCATGAAATGGCGACTATCTGTATGGCTTCCAGCTCTGTGGGAATGTTAGCAACTTTATCAGCTAAATGCTTTGTTGACATGTCATAGTACTCCAAAGGAAAATTTGCTGACCACTTAGAGAGTGCTGTAAAGTGCAGTATATAAGTCTGCTATTGCTAGTGATATTAATACAATAAGAGGGAGAAATACTACTCTTTCCCACACACTTACCATTATAGCAAAAAATATCAATATGGACTTATATCTGAGAGTTATAGTAACTCCTTGTTTTTTGTCACAAGTGCCCCAGAGTCCTGCAGTAACCAAAGAAGTCTCTTGGAACCTATGGTAAGAAGAAACCTATCAGGCTGCCGATGATTTGAGGCTCAATACTTCTATGGAATAATTGCTGATGCTATCACTGGGAAACTCTGCAAGCACTTACTGTAATCTAATGGATCCATAAGACACCTGTCAGAGATCCTCTTAATTGATTCCTTACCCACATAAAGGTCAGTTTTGACACTAGCCACAGATTGAATCAGAAGTGACCCACTTTTGATAAAGGACAAGTAATTACTGTAAATCCTTTAGATTATATTTGGTCTCCAAATGAAAACTAGATCTAACACATATCCACTTAGTTGGGTTGGATCTGAGAACAAGTGGGACTAGCTATGGTTGTCATGGAGACTAGGAACTCCAGAGTTATCCCTGGTCCCAGGTTGTTGGCTGTAGTCTTTCTCTCAGGTCTAATACACTGGCAGCAATTGTGTGAATAGGCTTTTCTGAGAACAGCTATTAAAATAATGTAAATTTTACATGCCTCTTTATATAAACACGGCTCAGACAACTAATTAACCACTATAGGCTCACTCTGATCCTGCATATAAAACAAGCCACTCATTCCATTGGTCTCAGATATGCAACCACAGCCCTTTGGGATATGATCAATTGACCCAACCGCTTAGTCTCTGTGCTTCAGCAGAAGCCTTAATAACTGTTAAATAATGCATTTCTTGGCAGATGTTGGGAATCAGAGCTATCAGACTGAAAGAGCTGCTTTGTGTATTTGCTACAGTGTGCTGTCACAAGAAAAGAGTTCACTGCTTTGTTGCTTATCGTCTTCCCACTAGAATATGCCGAGAAACCAACAGTCCATCATTGAGCTGGTCCATAGCTAATTTCCACTGGGATCAAGTGTATTGGAAAACTCACACAGATGGAGTTGGCACTGAAAAGATCTCTCTCTCTTTCTCTCTAGATTTTACATCTTTTGCCCACTATTCTTCTATTGGACCTGTAGGCAAAAGAAAATAAATTAAAATGTCAGGGAGGAAAAAAAAAGTTACCTCTACACTCAGCCAAATTTGACCCAGATACTGAAAAGAGGGAAGAATAAATTACATACAGGAGGGACAGCTCTGTTCTTTATTCTAACCAAGAATATAATAAATAAGTAGGCTTTGTGTCCTCTGCCATACCTTCCATTAGAGATTCTGTCCATGTAAGGAACAACTACACTACAGGGATTATAATATATTAAGCAATATCTAAAATTTCCAACACGGATTTACCGAAGCAAGAGAAAGATAATCATGAGGATGTTTCTGTAGAAGTGCTCTTTCTACACCTATAAACATTTGTATGAATGCAGAAGCTTTGTGGTGATTTCTATAATTTACATTTTTACAGATCTGTGAATTTATCATTCAAAATTAGAAACCTAGAAGGATGCATGCACACACATATTTCAAAATGCTTATAAAAGTAATAGATCACAAATTTGAACAATGCTTAAATAAAACAACTAACTTAAATATATCTAGGGGGAGGGAATTAAAATTTGACCCCTACAACATACAAAAGACCCCAAAAGTTAAGGGCATAAATTTATGTGGATTACTTTTGCCCTATTCCTTGAGCACATAACATTTCCAAAATTAGATATAGGATTCCTGAAATAATAACACAAATAGACATAGATACATAATCTGTATTATAATAAAACAGTGTTTTATTTATTAATTTATTTTATTTTAACTAGATTTATATGCCGCCCTATCTCCATAGGACTCAGGGTGGCTCCCAACAATTAAGATATACAATCTCAATCCAAGTAAGAAACATGTTAAAATACATATTAAACGCATATTAAAATACATTAAAAATCAAAACCCCATCAGTCCAGGCTGGGCAATTTAAACAGCCATGTTTTTAGTTCGCGGCGGAAAGTGCGAAGGTCAGGGGCCAACTGGAGCCCCCGGGGGAGTTGATTCCAAAGGGTGGGTGCTCCCGTAGAGAAAGCTCTACCTCTGGGGGTCGCCAGCCGACATTGTCTAGCTGACGGCACCCTGAGTAGGCCTTCCCTGCACCAGACGATGGGGAGCTGTTGCTGGTTGCAGATGGTCCGACAGTTTCCCCCCCTTTCAAGAAAAATCCATGATGAATTACCTACTCTAAATAATTGTGGTGAAAATAATCTTCCCTGGTACCAAGACAGGTCAGCTATAATTTTGAAGAAAGCAAGCTAAAGGTAGAAGCAATAAAATGAAGCAAACTGCTCACTTGCCTTAAAGTAATTCTCTAACCTGGATGGGCGTGTCCATAAGAATGTACTTGGGATTTCTGCTCAGTTCCCGGATATTTATGGTACCATATTGCAAAAACTTTATTTTATCATGCATGCTGTTCAACATCTATATGAAACTGTTATTATTTGGAGATTTAGAGTAAACTATCAGCAGCAACAGCAGCAGCAGCAGCAGGAGCAGGAAGATAATCTTGCTCTATCTCTTCTTTTGATCTGATCCAGGGATTCTGTGTAATTGTTGAACTAGTGCCTGGCTGTATTAATGCACAAAGAAAGAAGTGGTGTTTTATCATTTATCTTTGCAGGTGAATGGAGTTGCACTGCCCTGAAGGTTTGAATATGTAACTTGTGAGTGCTCTTGGATCCATTTTGATTTCAATCAGAGGCACAGGTGATTTCCTTGACATGAGGTAACTTCTACCAGGATATGCTGGTAGACCAGCTATGACCCTATTGGGCCTGAGGTAGACAGTGGCAATCAATTTCCTGGTAACTGCTTTAGTTACTACAGGGGTTCAGACTTCATGTGAAGTCAAAACAGGCAAGATGTGGGATTTAGCATCACAATCAACCCCTTTTCCTTTTGGGTATGCATGCATGGACACGTATAAAAGGGATAGGACTTATATTGCAATACCATTTAACCTGCTTTCACACATATACATTTAACCTGCTTTCATACACATATTGCAAATAGCCTAAGGTTCTTAAGGTAACCACCAGAGGCCTTGCTAAAAGTACCCCTTAAGTTAAAATATGGTGAATGGCTATTTAGAAGAAACATTTTTAGTGGTAGTCTCCGAATTTTGGAATGCTCCCAGAGATACCCTTGGCATCAGTATCTTTCTGATTTCAGAAAAGGACACTTATAGTCTTCCAAATCTTTTATTAATATATTAATATTCCTATGATGTTTTCAAAGTGTTTATTTCTGTTATTATTCCATTTTGTTTTAATATTTTATTGTTTTTTTATTTGGTATGTTTTATATAATATTTTAATGTACAGTATTATTTCTACCAATTGTTTAACTCACAGTTTGAAATTATTGCATTTTGTTTTTTAATGGGAAGTTGTATAAAATTGTTTTAAATAAATAATAATAAACCCAAGCTTCTGAAAAACATTGTTCCCTACTATAGCTTAATGAGAAATGCATCTCTGCTCTGTAACAGGTGGCATACCATCTTACTAGACATACAGCCAATCAACTAAAAATACCTCTATCTCATCACATTTTTGGCTTAAGTCTATTATTAATACCAAGCACAAGTATTTATAAGTGGTTTCAGATTTTAATTAAAATACTTATTACTACTTTAAATTCTAAATGTGTTCAGCACTAAGAGGGATGAGTTCCTATGAAATATGTGAAAGAAGTCATGCTTCATCAATTTAAGATTCAGTTGCTCAGGCCCTATTTTAATGTAACCTACTATGAGTCCTAGTTTTCCTCCTTGGTTCGTTAATTTTCATGATGTTTCTCTTAGACTATTACCAAAAGCTCTCTCTTTCTTTTTGGTTGATTTTGATACACAAGACTCCAAAGAGTTGGAATATTTCACAAAGATACTAACTTTCCACTGACATGATAGAAAATTGGCCTGACATGTTTGTAGTAACAAAATACAAAAAAACATAAGTATGGAGTTATTAGAAGAGACCTTAGAGTCTTCCAATCCAATCCTTTGCTCAAGCAGGAAATCCTATACCATTTCAGAAAAATGGTTGTCCAATCTTTCTTAAAAAATCTCCAGTGCTGCAGCACCTAGGATCTCTGGAGGCAACTCATTCCACTGATTAATTGTTCTAACTGTCAGGAAATTTCTCATTAGTTCTAGGTTGGTTCTCTCTTTGACTAGTTTCCATCCATTGCTTCTTGCCCAGCCTTCAGATGCTTTGGAGAATAGGTTGACCCCCTCTTCTTTGTGGCAGCCCCTCAAATATTGGAATGCTGCTATTATGTCACCCCTAATCCTTCTTTATTAAACTAAACATAGCCAATTCCTGCAATCGTTATTCATATGTATTAGCCTCCATCCCCTATCATCTTTGTTGCTCTTCTCTGCACTCTTTCTCAACATCTTTTTTACATCATGGCAAACATAATTGGATGCAATATTCCAAGCGTGGTCTTACGAAGGCATTATAAAATGAAATCAACACTTCATGTGATCTTGATTCTGCTCCTCTGTTAATTCTGCCTAGGACAGCATTGGCTTTTGTGGCAGCTGCAGACATTGCTGATTCATATTTAAGTGGTTGTCCACCAGGACTCCAAGATCCCTCTCACAGTTACTATTATTGAGCAAGGTACCATTCTATTCTATACCTATGCATTGTTTTTCTTGCGAAAATATAGAATATTACTTTTCTCATCATTGAATTTCATTTTGTTAGATAGGGTCCAATGTTCAAGTCTGTCAAGATCCTTTTGTATTTTAACCCTATCTTTGGGGGTATTGGTTATTCCTACCAGCCTGGTGTTATCTACAAATTTGATAAGTTCTCCTTCTATCCCCTCATTTAATAGCTGAAAGCTATTGAAATTATAATATACTACAATAACTGAAGTTTTAATAAACTTATCTGGAAGTTAAAATAATAGGATAATTGTTAAGGCTATAATATCTTGAGTAAACATAAGAGTCACCAAGCATAGAGTTGTTGGACAGATATCACTAAGCTGCTCCAACTTCACTAAACTGGAAATCTAGATATTTAGACACTTAAATTTGGAGAAGTATTTCAACATCATCCACACTTCTTTGGTTGTATTTTTGTTTTGTGGGTGTTGGATTGAGGGAAGGCACACAATCTTCACCTTAATGGTTTTGGGACCTTCAAACTTGGTAATGATAAATTAGGAAAAGACCAATCTAGCTAGTGTTTTTTTAATATGTAATTTCACTAAGTTTTAATAATAAAAATATTACTAACCAAATCAGAACACAGGAAAAAGCAAGGAAAGAATAGAAAAAGATGGACATGCAATAAAAAAAGAATAGAGATAGAAAAAAAGAGCAAGGTATAAAGAAAGGTATAAAGATATACAGGTAGCCTTCAATTTATCACCAATCACTTAGTAGCTGATTGAAATTATGATGAACCTCCCTGGGGTACTTACAATCCAGATTCAAAGTTCTGATGCTTCTCCTCACATGTCTGGACTTGGGTGCTCAGCAACCAGACTGCATTTACTGACATTTTCCTCATCCCATGATCTGTGTTTTTTTTACTTCCAGTTTTTGGCAAAACCACTGGTTCGCTTAACAATTAACATTAACATTAAGTGGCATCCACTTAATGACTGCAGATTTCACTTAATGATTGCAATGATTTGCTTAATGACTGCTGCAAAAAGGTCATAAAATTGGGTTGGCCACATAGATGGCCTGATTTACAACCATTGTGAATTACAACTGTGATGGGTAGGCTCCATTACAGTCATAATTCGAGAACTATCTGTAAATAAGTAGTTTCCAATGCTCCTCACTGCACTTATAAGTACATTTTAGCCTCTCTCTCTCTAGAGCAAAGGTGTCAAACTCAAGGCATCACGTGATGTATTGCAACTTTTTACCACTTCGCTAAACTGGGGATAGGTGTGGCCAGTGAGTGACACATCCAGCCTGTGGGCCACAAGTTTGACACCCTTGCTCTAGAGTTATCTCATGACTCTCTTCTTTCTGCAATAACCCTGTCTA